TTGATTGACAGTGGGTTGTTTTCGTGAATGCTCAGACTTGATGACAGGCGAAGGGTGGTTGTCACTAACACAAAAAGTTTGGCTGTTACAAAACTGTGGTTTTCGTTTGCAAGGCTATGCTGTACTCATTCTAAGAAGCTTTGGTCTTATCAAGGACCCAATGGGACGCAATTGCCATATAGTGATACTTTCCTTACGATAGTGTGTTATCCAATCGCATTGATGGCCGAGCACCCACAACAAAAATGACAATATTCCGGGTATTCAGGATTTGCTGGGGCTTAAAGTTATCTCCAAAAGACGTTATGTTCTTTTCATCCTAGTATAAACAAAACAACATAACTCCGTTGGCAAGTCCCTTTGACCTTTGACCCTAGAGCGTGCTGTGTTAGCAACTGACCGGTGCCTAACCCAGGCTTTACGGGTTAGTAATCTTCTTTAAATGATGACATCGTGCTAGTTGAAATGATGATATTGCTGCCAGTCGTCAACATCACCGGCATATCTTATATGCACACTCAGTCTGCACATGCCCCGAATGCGATAAGGTTAGCGACACAACTTTGCAGCTCGCCGAGCCGCCAAAATCTGACCCGCAAGAGCCTGCAGACTTTGACTGAAGCGTGGACTAGACTTGACGGATTTTTACGGGTCGAAAATTGTAACGAAAGAACTTACATATTGTTCACTATCCTGTAAATTTCAAAACCATACAAAACCATAGCGTACTGTAAAAAAATAGTTTGCAAAAAACACATTTTCACTTTCACAGCGATAGCAAAAGTAACAGGAGACCCATGGCAGACATGACACACTAGAAGGCCAGGTTACATATATTGAAAAACTTTAGGCACACATCTTACTGACAAATTCAAGACTAACAGCCCAAATTTTAACACCCTGTCCTGATTTCACTGAGGTGTAGTTAGACGGGCTAGACACAGTTAAACACAGCTAGATGAGTTAGATGGGTTAAGAACACAGCTAGACACTCTACTTAGCTGTTATTGTGAGGGTAAGGTGTATTCAAAATATTTTGTTTCGTACACAAGCCACACCTCGCAATCAATATCATTGATTATTAAAATGAATGGAAAACTGCGTACTTCATTGCGCTAGCCTCACCCACTTGTCAAGACAGCCCACGGTCACTGGTTTATAACATGCGTCACAGTTGTCAAAACTGTGTTAAGTGTTACCGCACAGCATCTATGACTGGAGAATTTACGACCACGATAGCAAGGGCTCTTACATAAAATGCGCTTCAGCTTGCCATAATTGCCATTAGGTTTCAACATGCATATCTCATCAAGGCTTTCCTGCTCATTTTTTTCCACTCTTTCCAAAATGTGTATCTGTATGCAGGTTTGTCAAAAATTTCACTTCCACATACGACGTAAAAAGATCGAAAGTTGCAGGGGAAACTGACAACCAGCTGACAACAGTGGCCGTCCCGGGCTGCGGACTGATGTTTCGGGATCAGTTGCGTCCCTAGTAAGAACACTTAACTCCAGAGACCACTGCTATCATCAACCCTAAGAGTTGAAAGCAGACAAGCGCTGGAGAAGCCGACATGTCAACTTGCCGGAACCCAGCGAACCAGCAGAATGACAGATAGCTGCATCGCATCTTCGGATCGCCGGTCCGGCCACAGCTCGCCCAAACTCGGAATGCAATGTCGCGGAACGAAGGCTTAAAGCCAAAGTAGACGCCGGGATGAATGAAGAAAGGACGCACGTGTCCCACGCGACAAAAACGAAGCTTCGTTTCCTTAGACGCAGACTTGAGAACGACACCCCGTGCGCGGAGCGCGCCTCCCCGGAAACGAGACACGGTGTACAACTGTTTTTGCGTGTCGGGTCGGCAAAACATCCCAAATCCAGAACATGGGGACGAGAAACGTGCGTGTGCGTGTTTCCGGCACCACAGGCCTGCCAGAGACAGCGCGGTCGCAGGCGTCCGTCGTCATGGCGTTGCTCTGAGGCGGCGGCGAGGAAGGCGGCCGCCGGGTGTGACTCACCAGGCCTCGTCCCATTCACTCCAGTCCGAGACTGTTTATTTATGTGTCCACGACGCGGCCTTGGTGCGACACCGCAGCCGGAAGCAGGTTCAGTGATCCCGACACAGCAGTTTGCACACAGATACGAGCCTTCTCGGGCGCGCCGGATGGATAGCCTATCTGGCCCGCTGCACGAGCCGTCGACCGCCGGTCAGATCAGAGCGCAGGCCACGCAAACGCGCTGCGGCGGCGCCGTGGCATGTGGCACATCTGTGACGCGCTGAAACATCGGCGACCATGGCCAGACGACACTGCTCGCCGCGTTCACCAGGCCGGCGTGTCACGGGAGACGCGCTCCGAGTGTTCAGGCTCGAGAGCAGCGCCGTGACCCGAGTCGCCCCGGCCGTGCGAACGTCGTCGGTCACGGATTCTCACGGCGGACGGGCGGGCCGGCGGAGCGTCCGTCTCCCTCCCAGCGTCGGCCGCCCGCCCAGCGACGTCGCCGCCGCCAGCTGGGCCGCCGGCTCCATGGGCCCGAACCGAGCGGTTTTCGCCGCTTCCGGCTGTCGTCCATCAGACGCGGCGCCACCGACCGACTTCCGGCCCGGTCAGATGGCCGCCGGGCATTGGCCTTGCCGGGCGCGGCTGCGGGGTCGCGCGGGTCGCCGATACGACGGGCAAACAACGGCGCGGTGGCGGCAGCCTTCTCATCGTCTGGGCGCCACGATAGGCCGGCCGCCGGCGGAGAGCGCTAGGGCAGCCGGTGGCGCGGCGTCACCGAGCCGGCCGCCGGCGGGAGCGCCTGGGCAGCCGGTGGCGCGGCGTCACCGAGCCGGCCGCCGGCGGAGAGCGCCAGAGCAACCGGCGGCGCGGCGTCACCGAGCCGGCCGCCGGCGGGAGCGCTTGGGCAGCCGGTTGCGCGGCGTCACAGAGCCGGCGGCGCGACGTCACCGAGCCGACCGCGGCCGCCGGACAGGTGATCGGAGAAGGTCTGGGTGCCCCGTCGCCGGCCACAATGGCCATCTGGCGCGGCGGCCGAAGAGGAGGCGAGCAGACGCCAGTCGGACAGGTGCCATCCACGAAAACACGCGCACGACCGCAGCCGGCCCGGCCCAGCCAAAACAGGCGGAGCGCGCGTAACGGCACCGCCCGGCTAAACTGGTAGTCGGGTAATAACAGCGGAGGTGAAGCGGAGATAAAGAACACGGGTTCTGCGCGCCAAAAGGCTGCCCGAACGACGTGAAGGTGAATGCATCGGCGTCTGGCAAACATTCCGTCTTTTCGCTTCCTCATTGGCGCAGGTTGGGAAGTACGAGATATGGTGCTTAGAACCACTTCAGAGTTATCAAGCCATTCAGCGGTGACTTGCTGCCGCCTGTCTTCGTCCCTGTTACTGTAAAACTGCATAGCTCCTTGAAAACTGCGTACAAATTTGAGCCGATGCCCCGCGGATTCGATGCTCCTTGTCAGGCGCCGACACGACTAGACTAATACTAACAAATCCAGCTGACAAACACCTCTCCTAGGACCACTGGCGGGCGGATCCAAGCGGTGGTTGGTTACATGGGCTTAAGCTGAGAAGTCCGGTACTGTCTGCACCGCCCCCCCCCCCCCCCCCACCACCACCACCACGGCTGCGCGCGCTGCATCAACCATACAGCGGGAGGTAAACCGACAACCACCCCGGCTGGTTGCCTCGAATGCGGCAAGCGCGCCGGTGAATCGCCGTTTGTAATGAGTCATGACAACTGATGACGCCTGTGTGTGCGGCGACATTTCCAGTTTGCTGTGAAATCCCGCAGCGTATGCCATTTGGACGGGACTAATTGAGCCCGGATGTCAGCGCTGCCTTCCGCACCAACGCTGGAAGTAAATGGTTCCGCCCAAAAGAGGGCACGGCGTACCACTCGCTCGCTCGCACATCAGACGGTTAAGTTTTCTGTTCCCAAATGAATGCCACTCAGGTACAAATTTCGGTGAATTTACCACCAGACTGACCACGGTATTCATTAAAAGCACCAGTCCCCCGGGTAACATCACGTGCGCAAATTATTATTAGCGGTTTTAAGCGGGGGCAGAGTACCTTGGGTAATTACCGCGATCTACTAATGACATTCTTAGCATATCATCATGAAAACCACTTTCGGGATGCACGCTCAGGTTCCCAAGGGCATATTGCGCCGACGGGCTGGGCAATAAATGCAGCAAGGTCGCATATTAAGCTAAATTCAAAGGAGATGTGATAATTATGGTGCTAACTTCACACCACCTAACACCTCCGGCGTTCAAAGAGCCTGTTGGGGACAGGTGCACCAATTCGTGGTTCTTCGTCACCATATTCGAACTGATTCGTCCGAATTCAGCAAACCCGCTTGCTGGTAGTGCAAACAGACGACCAGCTCATGCCGCGCTAGAGAACGGGCGATACACGCACCGGGAAGAGAAATGTACGCAGCTCCATGAAATGTTGACGTGCTTCGGTTCTGGGGTAGTGGGGTTTGCTGTTCATGAAAACTTGCAGCGCCGGTCAAGTGCTGTCAACCACCTTCCAGTCACAAAATGCTACGTAGCGACATGTAAAGAGGGCGAGATTGTGGCGGAAGAGCCTGATATCCAGATCTTGGTGTGGCCGCAAAACACCGCAGTGCGCGGCGGGCTCATTCACCTGTTCAACTCAACTCTGTATTTTGTACCTCGACTCCGTCTGTGAGCAATCAATAGTCTCGCAAGTGCTGGGCCCAGCAGCAGCGCCGACCCGGGTAAGTGTCATCTCAGCAGTCACTCAGCGTGTGACCCTGGCAGCAACATCAGCACGGGACAAGTGCGATGCCTGCGCCGCCTTGACTCGGCGAAGCGGGACGCTTCCAGCAGCAGCCACTCAGGCCAGGTATGCCCCGGCAGCAGCGCCGCCCGGGACACGTGTCACCCGGCCCGACAGCGGTGTCGGCTCCGCGGGATGTCCCCCAGTCCCGACAGCCGCGCCTCAGCCGGTTGCACTCACCGTGATGTCCTGGACGGCGAAGCTGCAGTCGGCGCACTGCACCAGCAGGCCGGCCGTGAGCGGGCGGGTCTCACGCAGCTTGGAGCTGATGAAGAGGCAGACGGCCCCCAGCAGCTGCAGTTGGTCCTTCTTCACCGGCGTCACACTCAGATAGCGGTCCAACATGTTCATTGCCAGTGGGAAGACGTCGTCATGGCAGCTGTGCTCTTCGCATACCTGCATGACAAGCGGGGGGGGGGGGGGGAGGGTGAAATAGGCGGAGGCGCCGAGTCGTCGCCTTGGACGATAAATGCGTGGTACGGCTGATGTTGCCTCCCTACTTTCAAGTGCGGTGGGCCTATCTTATTAAGTGCCGACAATTACCTCGAATGGTTATCACTTCAGCTGGTCTGTCTCCCTGTCTGCAGTGGTTCAGGGTATCAACCGGCACAACATACGCTCTTATGGAATAGCTCGTGCTAGATTACGCTAATCTAAACGGCGTATGCTGTCAGTGATTACGCATGCCAAAGAACTCCCCAAAACTTTGATTCCAAAAGTCAGTAACTAAATCTTCAAAAATACCGGCAACCCGATTTATTCATTTTTCGCTTCGTATTCGGGCGTAACCTCGTCGAGCAAAACGCTCTCTTAAGGAAGAACCATTACGGCGTGTTCACGAGAGAGCGCGTCTGACAAAGGACATGCCAAATAAATCAGGGAATCATTCAGCGTTCCTCCATGCGTTGAGCTTTTGAAATATTTTCGGCACACCCAGCGCCCCTATGTGTATCCATCTTCTAGCTATCTAACAACTATCTAGAATGTGTAGGTACTCTGACTAAGCTCTTTGAGCGTCGACGTATTGCACCAACCGTGCACGTCGCTCTCTCACGGCCTAGACGGCCGCATGGATGACAACCCTTTCCACGACATAACTGGCATGCTACTTCCTCCCCGGACAGAAATGTCATGCTGATAGCTCTATTCTCCCAGTCAGCTCATCTTGCTAAGCCATTCACCACCGGAAGCCCAGACAGCGTCAACCGAGGACGGCATATTGCCATTCCATGACAGAATCCCCTGGCGGGGCGCGCTCACCTCCACCATCCAGTAGGCGAGCACGCGGCGCATGGGCAGCTTGATCTCGCCCTGCACGCACTTGAAGGCCGAGCAGGCGGGCAGGTAGCGGCCCTCGGCCAGCAGCAGGTTGGCGAGCACCCGGTGGTCGCCGATCAGCGCCCTGTCCCGATAGGCCCTGCACTGCCGCTCGGCGCCCAGCGCGCCGTTCTCGCAGCAGAGCAGGCTGTCACCGGCGGCACGATCCATGCCACCGGGCGTCCACCCGTGTCCACCGTCCACCAAGTCCCGTCCACTGCAGGCGCGCAGGATCTCCCACTGTGCACCCCGCGCCGGCCGCCGCTTGGGCGCGAATGGCGGCGGGGCGGCTGGCGCGCCGTGCACCGCCGATCAGCTGATCGCCGTCAGCTGATCGGAGGCGGCCGCGGCGCCGCGCGCGCGCCAGCCTCGCCGGCGTGAGCCGCCAGGCTCTGCACGAGAGAGGCCACTTTTCCCCCAGGAATGCAATGCGAGAGGCCGTATAGCAGCTATGAGCGGTTACGGGCGCGGACATCAGCGGACAACGTCAAGGATTTTGTGGGATGTTGTGTTGACGCTTATGCTGTTGTCACAACACAAGCGCCAGCACAATGCCCACAAGGTATTTGATCCAGCCCCGCCGTGTTGCATTATAGGCGTCCAGGGGCTTAAGTTAGATTGAACAGATCAGCTTTACTGCGAAGTGCATTGTGCGTGTTGTGGATGGCAAGCAATATATCTTAAAAGGGAGCCTACAGATAATATTTTTTACAGATTTTTTGGGAGCCTACAGATCCAAACATGACACAAAGGTCGGTGCTTCTAAGGAAAACATGCATTATTTTAACCAACTTTCATCTCAGATGTAAAGGTTATCATGCCGTGTATAGCCTGCATCAAGGATAAATGAAATATCTGATGCAGGGATATTGCGCAAATGTTTCGGTTCTTTGTTGGCAGGCTTGCAAGAGAGTACCACAAAGTACTTGCACCCGCTGGAAGAGATCGCGTTTGAGCGGCACGATCAACAGACCATTGCATAAGTCATATAACGCCGCGTCGGTTCTTTTGTGCCCGTTTTGAGCAACTTTCAGCATGCATTAAACTGTACGTCACGAGCAGTCCCAATATTTCCTTCATGATGAAGGGAACTAGTCATCACGTGCACTTTTCTGTACGAGCTCTATTTGGATGGGAGACAGGGCGCCGTTGCGACAAAAAATGACCTTATGCCATTTTGACGACGAAATGCATAAGTCTTGTTCGTGACCACAGGGATGTGAAAAGCTCTTCAGGAGTATGAGCGGAGCGAAATGCCAGTGCTGCAAGATATAAACCCTGACCCCAAATCCAAATGACTTGCAAGGAACCCAGTCACCGTTTCATGGTATAGTAACAACTACCGTAACCTGGGCTCCTCACTCGCGAGTGGCACAGGACGGATGGGGATCCCAATAATTCAGATCCTGGTCGCGAGCTGTTTGTAGGGTGCTAATGCTCGTCTTGAATTCACTGAAATCTGTCCATGCCAAAACCGCGATTAATTCTACACACCAACTGCAACTTAACAGAATTTCTTGGTTTTGTTCAACGCGTGTGTGCTAGAGCATGACTCCCCGTACATTACGAATTGTGACGCTGTATCTTTTCAAATTAGAATATATGCGGAGCCCATCCAAACATCTGCATGGGTTTAGAAGTGCTGTTAATCAGGCCACTTGCCTGTTTGGGCGACCAGAGGATGTATGCGACAGCTCCGACACGCCGAAAGAGCGCTGATGGAACGTTTCATCAACAGCCCTTGATGACAACAGGTCCTTGGTCCATCACAGCCCCTAATGCCTCACATCGGTAACAGAAACGGACGACCCTGAACCCATGACGGAGCTGAAGACCCTGAGCCCATGGTGGGCCTCAAGACCCTGAGCTTATGACAGACCCCAAGACCCTGAGCCATGATGGAGACCAACAGCCTGAGCCCATGGCGAAGCTGAAGACCCTGAACCCATGATGGAAACCAAGACTCTGAGCCCATGATGGAGACCAATACCCTGAACGAATGACGGATCTAAAGACCCTAAGCCCATGATGGAAAATAAAACCCTGAGTCCATGATAGAGACCAAGACCCTGAGCTGCTGGCCGAGTCCAACACCCTAAGCCCAGGACGGAGCTCCAAACCGCGAGCCGATGGCGGAATTAAAAAGCTGAGCCCACGCCAGTATGCAAGACGTTGCACGCGACTGAACACCCTGCAGCCATCACAAAACCCCAGCGCCGCGAGTCCCGCCGCCTCGCGGTCCTACCGTCTGGGGTCGTCTGGCGTTGCCGCTCGCACTACGGCCGTCGGCCATGGCTGAGCAGTACGGCAGCCGACGACTGAAGGTCATGGCGGAGCGGTACGGCAGCTGACGGCTGAAGGCCACGGCTGAACGGTACGGCAGCCAACGGCTGAAGGCCACGGCTGAGCAGTGCGGCAGCTAACAGCTGGAGGTCACGGCTGAGCGGTGCGATAGCTGGCGGCTGAAGGTCACGGCTGAGCGGTACGGCAGCTAACAGTTGGAAGTCACGGCTGAGCGGTACGGCAGCCGACTGCTGAAGGCTACGGCGGAGCGCTGCGGCAGCTAACGACTGAGGGCCACGGCTGAGCGGTACGGCAGCCGACGGCTGAAGGTCACGGCTGTGCGGTACGGCAGCTAACGACTGAGGGCCACGGCTGAGCGGTACGGCAGCCGCCGGCTGAAGGTCACGGCTGTGCGGTACGGCAGCCGACGGCTGAAGGTCATGGCTGAGCGGTACGGCAGCTGACGACTGGAGGTCACGACTGAGCGGTACGGCAGCCGACGACTGAAGGTCATGGCTGAGCGGTACGGCAGCTGACGGCTGAAGGCCACGGCTGAGCGCTACGGCAGCTAACGACTGAGGGCCACGGCTGAGCGGTACGGCAGCTGACGGCCGGAGGTCACGGCTGTGCGGTACGGCAGCAGACGGCTGAAGGTCATGGCTGAGCGGTACGGCGGCCGACGACTGGAGGTCACGACTGAGAGGTAAGGCGGCATGGCTGGAGGTCCTGCGAGGCGACGCGCCCGTTGGCGGCAGCGGGCCTCGGTGTTCCTGCACCGGTCAGGCAGCCGCGCCCGGCGTCCCGCCACGTCACACCGGGCAGGTCCCGGCGGCGCGCCGGGGGTCATAGATGGCGCTGGGCCGGTAAGAACACGGTCAAGTTTTTCTTTCTTTTCAGCTGTGCGTATAAAAACGTGTGCTAATTGACTAGGGGCCTGACATATGTCACCTGGCTTCATTTCATACGACAGCTGAGTTTCATCTGTGCTGGTCAGTGCACTGTTGAGAGTAAGCTCACTCTTTCGTGCGTGAGGATAGGGCATGCGCTCAGCGCCGTTCTCATGCATGACCAAACACCGGCTGGGTTCAGTTTCCTCGAATGCTTGCTGTTTGACCTCATGTCTGCGACAAGTCCATGATAAATAACAGAGCATCGATGAACCAACAGATAAGCGACAAGCGTACTTCAAGCGGGTGTCCCACCGCTGGAACATGTTTCAAAAACATGATCTGGTGAACTCTCAGGACCTGTCTTTCATATTGATTGCGCTGGGGAGCTGAGCTGCATCAGCTAACAGTGATAATATTCATCATGGGATGTTATTTGCAAATAAATTTTGGTTATTTTCGAGTCCGAATTATCTAGTCAGCGTTTCTGGCCCGCGCTAGACTTCCTATCTCATTTAGTCTACCCATATGTGATGCTGTGCATGAACGATGCGTTGGCCAAGGTCGATTCTGTAGCATACTTTGAACTCTTTGGTAAATGTTTACACAACTACCAGTCGACAAATGGCTCAATTCCAGAAAAGCGTCCAGCACAATTGTTTATGCGATGAGCCATGTTGACGTTTAGTCTTGCACAGCAAAATTAAAAATAGCAAAATAAACATCCACTCAATTCAGCAAATCCTTTTTAGCTTTATAATGGTGACCAAAGCGGCTTAATAATGTGATGACAGCGGCTGTTAGTGCGTAATGAGTGGGTTAATCCAACGTAAAACTAGTATTCTCAGAAAAACAAAATGTTTTGGCAAAGTGGAGCCAAATATCTTCATTTGAATTGCGTGGTACTCCCATCCACCTTAATTGCAGTGCTGGACATATCTCACATTTGCGTGTTAGTTAGGTACGCATAATGTTAGTAGAACTGAGAGTTTGTAGTTATCACATCGCCGCGTAAGCATTTGGTGAGTGGTCCGTTGATGCGTCCAGCTGATCTGTCGCTGGTACATACCTGCACTGCATGCGCAACTTTAGACGAAATACGCATCAAGTAAACAATGCATTCCAAAGCCAAAGCGCCCTCGAACGGGGTCACTTTGCCAAACGCCATAGAGAAATCAACGTCGTAGTGCAACGCATCGTTGAATTTGCGTGAGAATGGCCTCACATTTGCACATTTTTCCAGAGGGTTTTAAGCTCTCATACTAGTTATAGCGCAAAAATTGTGGCGAATTGGTGTATTGAGAATATCATGTCACACACACACACGCACACATTGCGAAAGACCAAACAAATGTAAGTAATTACTTTTATGGCGAGAAGGAATCCAATGACGCCCCGTCAAAGAGACTGCTTCAAAGAAAATTTATAAGCCTTTCAGAAGGATTTCGAGAAAACTGGTGTTACCTATCAGATGGGATCCGTGTGGTCTAACTACGCTTCAGAAGTGCAAAAAGTCAAAAAGGTAGAATACTCTAATGTGCATGAGTCAAGTACCCACTTCCAGGCCTCGGACACGCACGGGCAAACTGACCAGACCGTTCCCTCACCACCACTGAGGTGACACTGGACGCCTCGGTGGTAATGTCTACGTATTTTACCGGTCCCCGACAGCCCCCCACCCCCCTACCCGGTCTCCCACGTGGTCGGCCGTGGCCGTGAGGCGCGCGCCAGCTGTGCACAGCGCGCCTCCAACGCGGGGCGGGTCGCTAATCCGTCCGGCGGCGGTCCCAGAGATGCTGTAATCCCGTCCGACGCTCCCCCCCCCCCCCCCCCACCACAACCCGTCGCCCCCTCCCCGTCCGCTGCATTCCGAAACATGCTGGCGGCGATTGGCCGCTGGAGGGGGCGTCAAAGGCGCCGGCCGAGCGACAGCCGCGTGCCCGGTCACCTCGGCGCTGACCTCTGACCCCTATCTCGTCCACGTGTGGCACCGCGGTATGTGCGCTCGTCAGGCACAGTTCCCGACGCTTGTGGCTTGGGACTGCCTGCTATACTCAGAACGCACTGCTCCGATCGTGCAGCGGGGAGT